ATCTGAAGAGGGCTAGCACCTTCGGAGTGTAATAACGGGATTTCTATAGTAATAGTTGCATAGAAAATTATTTGTGACATTTTAAGGGTTAAAAAGGTCAAGCAATAATTAATTATATTTAATTATTATATCTTAAAGTGTTAAGATTAATGAGATGAACAAAAATAACCTTTTAATAGTTAAAAGGTAAAAAGGGTAAATTTATGGGTTGTTAATGTAAACTAGTTTAGTTTACATGGGCCCTTGAATAATATTGATTATTCAAAGGGTAGCATATTAAATTCGTGGGGTCCCTTTATAAAATAAGATTTTATTGGGCTTGGAAGTGAAAAATAAATAATTGCAAAATAGCCCAAGTATATATAAGTGCAAAAGGTTGCATTTTTGTTCATTATTCACTTGTTCACTCAAACACAAACTAAAAGCTCTCTCTCCCTAGCCAAGGCCACTCTCTAATCCTCTCAAGGTGGTGTTAAAGTGTGGAGGTTTCATCCTTTTGAAGCTAATCTTCATCAATCCAAAGCAAAGGAGTAGGTATAATCTCTTTTAAGTGTCACGCCCGCTTGAGGTAGTTGTATTGTTTCCTCTTTCGCCCTAATCGAGTTGGTTTTTGTATATGTTTGTTGAATGTTATGTTGATTGTGTGCCTGAAATTGGTTGAAAATAGAAGAATTTGAGGTACCAAGCTTCGCCGGGGCGAAGAAGAATCTTCGCGCGGCGAAGATGGGTTGAACCAGGGTGAAACTCTCTGGACAGTTTCGCCGCGGCGACCAAATGTTCTTCGCCGCGGCGACGGGGAATTTAGTTGGTTGAGTTTAGACATTTTCTCCTAAGGACAATTTGACCCTTCTACCCCTAATAGCAGGAAAAGGGGGAGTGAATTGTAAGGATTTTACATGGAGAATTGTGATATGGGGGTGAGTTGTAATGACAAAGGATATGGATGGAATTCCCAAAAATGAACAAGGGCAAATGGAATGGTGTGTAATATTTCATTAAAAGGAATTAGAATCAAAGAAACCCCTCAGTTCTTTCTCAAACGTTGACTCTTCATTCTTCTCTCTCAATTTCTCTTTCTTTTGGTTCAAGGAATTTCAAGGGTTTTGGAGTGATTTGGGGTATAGAAAGCAACCCAAGGCTTCCTAAGGTAAGGTTTCTCCTTAAGTGTGTGATATGTAGATTTTAGTCATTTTGGTTTTGGGGGTTTTCATCTTTTGGTTAAGATTAGAGAGAATACAAGAAACAATGGAAGAGATTTGGTGAGTCTCTCCATAGCAAGTAAGTAAAACCCAAACCAAGTTGAGATTTATGAAATTCTTTAGGGTTTGATAGATTGATGTATGTATGTGATATACATGTAATAAGATGTATGAAGGATTAAATAGAAATTTCTATGCTTGTGAATGTTATTACTTTGCAAATATGAGAAATGGTGTTGTTGGTGGCAAGGTAGTTGAGATGGATTTGAAGGGGTGTTATGGAACCCTTTTGGAAGTGTTTATTTGACAGGTTATTAGACTTGTGTGAAGGGGTTTTTCCACATTTTGGATGGTTAGGAAAAGTTTTGAGTCATGGCTATGATAGAGTTTATAGTGCACATGAGTGTTTGATGAAATGCCTATAGATGGGTTGAGTGTGAGAATGAACTTAATTCTTGCGAACATTGCATGTTGGCATTTCACCAAGGCATAGTAGAGATGATCATCCATGTGCATTGTTAATGCATTGAAGAGTGACCTAAGAAAGAGTAGGAAATTGTGTTTAGATACCATGAGTAGAGAGCTTGTGGGTAAAATTACTCTAGGGTAGCGAGCTCTGAAAAATGCGTACAATAGAATGAGTTAGAAGAGTGGTATAGTTGGGATGATGCTTTGGATACACCCGACCGTTATGGGAATCGGATTGATGCTTTGTGAACATCATCGAATAGCCCTTAGAGATGGGTTGAGCTTTTGGGTCAACATCAATGGCTAGTAGAAGCGGGTTGTGATGCTTTGGTCATCCCCCGAGTATGATAGAGACGGGTAAATGCTTGGTGAGTTACCCAAAATTCAGGAGGACGGTGGTAGGTCTAGTGATCTACACCGATAGTTAGAAGGAAAGAGTTGGTGCTTTGTGATCCTCACTCGGTAGTCAAGCTAAGGGGTGGTACTGTGTGAATTCCACCGTAGCACATAGATGAATGAGATGGTGCGTGTGTGAACGCCATTCGCCGTACCTCGGTAAGATGAGGCCAGTGTTATAGAAACGAAATAGAAGCAGAAAAGAAACAGAATTAGAAAAAGGAAAGAATTAATAGAGTCACACACGGGGACAGAAGTTAGAGAGTTTTTACTGACGCATTATTTGTGCTCACCCACGTTATTTTCTTTGTGGGAGAGGTCTAGGTGTGATGCGGTTGGAGGGGGTCGGCGCGCGAGGGAGAATAGAAAAGTTCCCCTTCTATTTGTCTTTTAAAATGCACTTTGTAAACAGTAACCTTTGTGTATAAAAGACGTTGTGAATTGTAATGAAAGAAATATTGTGGGCCCAATTTTTCATTGTTAATTGCATGCATTTACTAGTTTTTCAGTAGGTGTCATCAAGCTTTGTATGAAAAAAGTTTTTTGAATCATCCTTTCATGCTTTCTTTCCATTCCACACTATTAATGCAGCATACTGCAGGTCTTTGTAGTATGTCCCACAGGTACTGGCTTCTACATTTTCAGATTTAGGGATGAGGATGCGGTGCATTCAATCCTTGAGAGAGGGCCGTGGATGTTTGGGGGTAAGTGTATTATTCTGCAACAATGGCATGCTCAGTTTACTTTTGATAAGAGCCGCATCTCTAGAGTTCCGGTATGGGCTCGTTTGCATGGTTTGCCTTATCCTTTGTGGTCCCACAAAGGACTCTGCATGGTTTCCTCTATGTTAGGTCGACCGTTGTCTAGTGATAAGACAACATCAGAGCGGACCCCTTTGGATTATGCTCGGGTATGTGTTGAGCTAGATGCAGCAAAGCCTCTGAGACGTCATTTTGAATTTTAGTGCCAGTTATCTGCAGAACCCATTCAGATTACAGTGGAATATGAGTGGACCCCCAAGAGGTGCCCTAAGTGCTGTGTTTTTGGTCATGTTTGTCACCAACCAGAGGTACCTACTGCGGCTATAGCTCAAGGTAAGAATAAGATAGTTACTAGTTTCTAGAAGGCACCAGGGAAAGCTGTTGCAATGCAATCTGAGCACTGCGAGCCTTTGAGGCAGCCAGCCACTATTGATCCCATTAGGGGGAGGGAGCGGGGGATGGAGAGGGATGTTTTAGTGCCATCTACAGTTTCAGTTCCGAGTACAATTAGAGTTGGGGATGCTTATTTGGCTTTGGTCCCGTATCAGTAGACTATTCGTGCTAGCAGACGTGAATTTTCTGGCTCTGAATCGAGGTCGAAACCTGATTCCCCTTTTCCTATTGAGGATGAGCAAGACCGTATTATGGGATTTACAAATTGCACAGAATACACTCAGTCCTTTATGAGTTCTGGGAGTAGGCAATCTACCTCTTGCAACAGGTTTGCCTTGCTTATTCTGCATAGTGACGATCTTCAGACACCAGATGCCACCTTATCTGGATCAGTTTCCTTGCCACCCTTAGCAAAGGGGATAGGTCAGGGAAAGCGGGGGCTTCGATTCAAGTGATTTCTTAGCTTGTTTCTATCCCAATTCCAATGATAGGGAGTTGGAATATTAGAGGCCTTAACAGCTTCTCAAAACAACATGCTATGCGGAATTGGATTTCTGACTCTTTTTTGGGTTTGATTGGTTTGTTGGAGACTAAGGTTGAGCAGTCTAATTTATAGTTGGTGGTCTCGTTGGTTTGTCCTTCATGGCAATTTTTGTCAAATGCGACAGATTCTATTGCTTGCCGTGTTCTGGTATGTTGGGACTCTTCTCTTTACTCTGTGCATAGTCTTCATTGCTCTCTTCAGGAGATTACTTGCAGGGTTACTCATGTTTCTGAGGGGTTCTCATTTGGGATTACTTTTGTGTATGGTTCTAATGACCTTGGGAATCGCCGTAATCTGTGAAATTTCCTGAGGGATCAGTCGGTAGTGTTTGGTTCAGAGGGGCCCCCGTGACTTGTGTTGGGTGATTTTAATGCCATCTTGGGAGCCTCTGATAGAGTGGGTGGTGATCCTGCGTGGTATGGTTATATGGATGATTTTGGCCAATGTATCCATAATGCTGAGTTGATTGGGGTTCCTTTTACTGGGCTTCGGTATACTTGGCATAACGGTCAACAAGGGGATAGGATTATTTTACGAAAGCTCGATTGGGTCTTTGCATCACTTTCTTGGCTCCTTGAGCGACCAAACATAGCTTCAGAGGTTCGACCTCGGGGTGTTTCAGATCATAGCCATATTGTTATCCGGTTTGGTCCCCGCCGTAGCAAGGTACCATCCCCTTTTAAATTTCTAAATTTTTGGGCTAATCATGCAAATTTTTGGGATATTGTTCAGGCAGTTTGGGATGTGCCTATTGTAGGCAATCCTATGTTCCGTCTTACGCAGAAATTGGGGTTAGTGAAACAGAAGCTCAAAGCTTTACATATTAGGGTTTCCAGTCATATGTCCAGCCGGGTAATTGAGGCTCGGGCTCAGTGGGCAACAACTCAAGGAAATTTGGATCAGGACCCGTTTTCTACTAAGTGTATCTCTGAGGAGAGGAACCTTGCCAACTAGTATTTCAGCTTTGTCGAGATGAGGAGGCTTTCTTTAAGCAGCGATCTCGTGCTTAGTGGTTGCACTTAGTGGATCAGAATACTAAGTTCTTTCATAAGTCGCTGATCCATAGGCAGGTTCGAAACCACATCCACGGTTTGACTGATGGGAATGGTACTCATATTACTAACAATTAGGGTTTAGGGCATTTGGCGGTAGGTTTTTTTCAGGATCTTCTTGTTGCCCCTAGTCAACCTCAGATTGCAGAGGCTTCCAGGTATTTTTTTTAGCCGCATTTCTCTTGATATGATTTCTCCATTGACTGCTTCTATCACTGATGATGAGATTAGGATTGCTTTATTCTCTATCCTGGATGATAAAGCCCCGGGCCTGGATGGATTCACATCTTTGTTTTTTAAGCGGGCATGGAATATTATTGGTATAGATTTCAGAGATGCAGTGAGACATTTTTTTGCTACTAATGAAATGCCAAGATGTGTTAATGCCACCAGGATTGCTTTGGTTCCTAAGGTGGAGAGCCCGAGTCGTATGACGGGCTTTAGGCCGATATCTTAATGTAATGTACTTTACAAGTGCATTTCTAAGGTGATTGTGAATTAGTTTAAAGTAGTGCTTCCGGATATTATTGGGGTTTCCCAGTCAGCTTTTGTCCCGGGTCGAAGGATTTCTGATAATATTTTGCTGACTCAGAAGCTTTTGCGAAATTATCATCTTGGGGGTACTTCACCTCGATGTGCCCTTAAAGTCGATATTCGTAAAGCTTTTGATACTGTGAGTTAGGATTTCATCTTTTTGGGATTGCGTACTGTGGGTTTTCCTGAGCGTATGGTGAGGTGGATCATGACATGTATCTCTACATTGTATTTCTCTGTTGCCCTGAATGGAGAGCTTCACGGTTTTTTTAGGTCCTCCCGGGGTGTTTGGAAAGGGGACCCTTTGTTCTCCTTACCTTTTTGTGTTGGCTATGGAGGGATTAGCTGTTATTTTTTGGGAAACCTCTCACAGCCCTGGTTTTCATTATCATTGGAGATGTAGGCGGGCAGCTATTACTCATTTGTGTTTTGCAGATGATTTGATGGTGTTTTGTAGAGCAGTTGCTTCCTTTGTTAGCTTGATCAAATCGGCCTTGGATTATTTTGCTAAGGTTATTGGATTAGTGACTAATGCAGAGAAGAGCTAGTTGTTTCTTTCTGGAGTTACAAATGAGGAGCAGATTGGGTTACAGTCTATCATGGGTTTCCAGTTATGTAACAACTACTGAAAACTAGGACAATGCATGCATAATAACAATATAAAATTGGGCCCCAAAAATTTCTTTTCATTAGAAATCATATGTCTTTTATACACAAAGATTACTGTTTACAAAAATGCATTTTAAAAGACAAAACAGGGGAAAACAGTGTAGCTATTCCTCTTCGCTTGCCGACGCCCCTCTGACTGCGTCATCACCTAGAACCTGCATCCACAAAGGAAAATAACGGGGTGAGCACAAAATAATGCTCAGTAAGTAAAACTCTCTGTCTGTCTGTCCCTGTAAGAATAACTCTTAATTCTTTCCTTATACTATTTCTGATTCTATCTCTGTTTCTACTAAACATCATGGCCTCATCTTACTGGAGGTACGGCCAGATGGCGTTCACACAGCACCATCTCGCTCTCTATGGCTATCGGGTGGAATTCACAAAGTACCAACCCGTTCTTAGTGACTACCGAGTGAGGATCACAAAGCACCAACTCGATTCTTCCTAACTATCGGGTGGAGATCACCTAGCACCTACCCGTTCCTCATGAATTTTGGGTAACGTTCACCAAGCATTTACCCGTCTCTAGTCACTATCGGGNAGAGTTGCGTTTGAGAAGAAGAAATGAGGGGTTTGTTAATTCTAATTCCTTTTAATGAAATATAAACACAAGCATTCCCATTTTGCCCTTACTCTTCTTTGGGAATTCCATCTATATCCTTTGATTCATTACAAACTCACCCCCATATCAACACATTCTCCATGAAAAATCCTTACAATTAACTCCCCACTTTTCCTGCTAATTAGGGGTAGAATGGTCAAATTGCCCTTAGGGAAGAAAATATCTAAAACTCAATCAACATTTTATTCGGGTTGTCGCCGCGGCGAAGAAACTTCTGTCGCTGCGGCGAAACCGTCCAGAGAGTTTCCGGTGGTTTCAACACATCTTCGCCGCGGCGAAGATTCTTCTTCGCCCCGGCGAAGCTCGGCATACTACACCTCTTCCATTTTTAACCCATTTCAAGGCAATTAATCCACACAACACTCATACTAATGACAATCAAACAATATTACCAAAAACAACTCAAATGAGGGCGAAAGAGGAAACAATAACTACGTACCTCAAGTGGGGCGTTACAAGTTAGGCTAGTTACTGGTAAGATATCTAGGGGTTCCTCTAATCTCTACCCGCCTTCAACATTTTTATCGTAGGCCTCTGTTAGAGTGAATTATTTCTCGGATTAGGCTATGGACGTCGGTATCTTTGACCTATGCAGGCCGACTACAGTTGATAAAGTCGGTACTTTTCTCCATACAGGTTTATTGGTCCTCCATGTTTCTTTTGCTGGCAGCTACAGTTAGACAGATTGAGAGTATTTTGGCCTCGTTTCTTTGGAAGGGTACTTCTTTGTCCCCTTCAGGTGCTAAGGTTGCATGGTCTTCTGTTTGCTATCCATTGACGGAGGGTGTGTTAGTGTATATTAGTGTATGCCCTAGAAACCATTCGTGTTGTCGGTTTCAGAGCATTTTGT